GTGATCATTGTTTCTATAGTATAGATGAGTTTCACTTGTTTGGGGGCAAATCCTAGTTCTAATCACTTGTAAACATATATTTCAAGAATAATTAACTTGTAGATTTTAATGTTAGTAATGTTATAGGAATGCCTACTGCCCTATTCTGTATTTTTTTCTTACAGGAATGAGATCGAGGATACCAGGGTATTTTGTGCCAGGATAGAGGGATCGGGTCTTGAGGCGTACAGCGGTATCTTATGTTAAACGATTATATTAGTTCTATTATTAGAATCATCATTGTATCATCTTAGTATGTTACTATATCATTATATTATATTTTAACGTGTCTTTAGTTCGAATCTCGTTGTTCACATGTGTAAGTTCGTATCCCACTTCTGACACCAGTTGTAATGTGTTGCGTTACTGTAGACGCCGTTCGGATGGTTAATTGGTTTATTTAACAACCTACAATTCACGGCTACAATTAATTATAACAATATTGCGGGGTTTCACAATTTATAACCCTATTCGCAAATCAAATCACGCTCTTGTCTGTAGACTACACGTTTCACAGTACGGGAGCTATACAAGTGTCACTGTGTTACACACTCCCAATTAATTCTCAGTTAACACAAGCTGTCACTGATTATCACACCTTTACTGTCTCCGTCGACGGTTATATTTCAACTCGACTCGCAGGCTGCTGCCTTGAGAACTGTTGATAACACACTGCTCGACTACTACTGAACTTTGCCGATGGCCACATTACAACTCGCCTCGCTGGCAGTGCAGCTCTCTTATATAGTGGCTGTGTTTGCCTGTTACGTAGCAACGCTGTTGGAAGCTGGTTACGGGTACGTAGCATTGCGCGTTACGTCACTGCGGAGGCGGGGGGAGCGAGCGCTGACTCATCCGCCACGTCACTGTGGCCTGAGTTGACACATTGCTGCTGGGTAGGGAGAGGGTTCTCCGTTGCGCAACATGTCACACTGCTCCCTCCTTAAGGCTGTTCATCCCGAATAGCCTAACGGTGCAGCCCCGTTCCTTTGCTTCAGAGGCTGTTCTTGCAGCATCTGTTCCCCGGCCGCTACAACCTCTCCCTTCTTAAGACCAATAATAATATTATCATTATTTATAATTGTAAAGTATTTGACTTGTCCTATATCATGTATAATGATCCGTGGATATGAAGTAAGTAAATAAATACTGTAAAGATTGTTTTATGTTACTCTCAGCTACATACCAGATTTGATTTTATGTTCCAGAGTCTTCTTTGAAGGAAAGGACATAACTAGTTTTCTTGTTCTAAAAAATTTGGTCCATGTCAAATGAATGAATATTTTGTGTTACACTATTGAGTAATATGCATAATTACCTATAATACTGAAAATTGGGAATAAAATGATATGCTGTGATTCTAGTAATTTCAGTTCTTTATAATAAATATGTATGGTTGTTTTTCAGTCTATCCATGTGCATTATCAAAATGGTTAGACATACATGTATGATTATAATGTGATTTGATTTGGCTTTTAACAAATATTTATATATTGAAATTTTTTTTGTTTTGTTTGCAGGCAAAGAAACACATACTGGTGTACAACTGGTCTCTATCCCCAAAGTTTTATCATAACTTTTCCAAATCCAGTCATTATTTCTTTAATTAAGATTAGAAGCTATTTAGGTGAGTTGAAAGAAATACTGTAATTGCATTCTGTATCTTTTCTGTAGAATATTTGTGCATCCTTTATTTTGCATATGCATGTAAGCTTTCTGCTGTATTATAATGAAATATCCTACAGCAGTAGTTTCTGTTTTGTATATAAGCAGGAAATGCAGTTCTGTAATATATATTTGATATCTTTTGTCTAAGTCACTATGTGTAATAGTTTTCATTCTGAGAAAATGCTGTGGTACTGCTGCCACATTTTTGTGGGTTATGTAAACTTCTTGATGTGCTGGGCAACCTTTGTCATTTGCCATGCCATTACTAAGGATGACGCAAAATGGGCCGTATTGTGTGTATATGTTTTGAGTGAGGGTGGAGAGAAAAAACTTATGTAAATAATATTTTAAAAAATTATTCCCACTTCCAAGAAACTTCTCCACAACACTATTACTGACAGCTGTTTTAATGATTATCAGAGAAAATTGATCTCTACTTAAAGAACCAATTCAGTCCCATAAAAAGTGGATGGCATATATTACTACCACTTCTTTGTACAGGAATATACATTATATTGGCTAATTCTTGTGCTTTTTATAAACTTCTTCAGTGATATTCCATAGAATAAACCTCTCCCCCCCACTCATTATACCTTATGAATTTGATGTAATGCATACTACAGACATCTAATGTATTAAGAGTACTATCTTCTGGGATATAACACTGTGTAGTCTGTTGAAAGTCAACTGACATTTCAGACTTTCACTGAATTATATGGCATTGTATCCCAGAAGATAGTGCTCTTCATAATCACTGCTGCGAGAACCTCAAATCATTTTGACTGCCTAGCACATGCACACACACACACACACCATATCATTGTGAAAGATACCAGGTATGTGATTTTTATTATTTATTTCAGTGCAGTTAATCTCTGTGGAAAGAAGTTCTGCTGACGCTCCACAACGATTTGAAAATCTTTGTGAGACGGGCAAGTAAGATTTTAGAGAAGTTCAATATACTAATTCAAACAGTTAATTCCTCTTGACCTTTGAGGGAAACCATTTCACTAATTTTCACATATGGTTAGTGCTTTGTTACCGGTTTTGTAATATATTCACTTTTTCTTGTCTTGAAAGGTGTTGGAAGAATATAGATGAGTGCTGAGGATCCCAGTTGTGTCTTAATATTTTACATAATGATTGCATATCATGTACACCTTGTTGCTGTAGGTTACTTTCTCTGTATATTTCATTAGTTTTGATCAGTGTCATTCCCTTATTGCACTACATAACCCAGTGAACCCCCATGTCACGTTTCTTTGGGGACCAAAGGATTTGAACGCTTGAAGGGAAGATTGACACTGATATTGATTTTGGGATTAGTGAAATTGAATGTTAAATAAGGGAAAATGTTGCATCTTACTATGAGTTCTGCTCCACCCCCNCCCCCCCCCCCCCCCCAAATACTCTGCAAACCATGTAAGTATTGTTTCAAATGAAAGGACAAGTACATTATGTATGCAGCTTTGTCCTTCAAGTATAGAGACATTGGTGACACTTTGAGATGCATTGTAAGATCATAAACATCATATTAGGTGTGACCACTGCTGTAGCTTGTAAACTTGAGGCATTGGTCTACCAGACATGGTTGAATGGTTAGCCCTCCTCTTTTATATTTCAAAATCCCTGGAATTGATTCTTGATGTGGAGGCCTGCTGTCAACACCAGATTATTCTTTAATTCCGTCTCTGTAGGTGAATGCTGGGATCTTCAAATCAGCCATTACTACTTACAATCATTGTATACTCATTGCCTATGATTATCTGACCATCCTCTCTCTCAGTCATTGTTACATAAACTTCAGAGTTGAAAACGTGGCTTAAGTAATTGAAAACCTAACCTAAGGTTTTCTTCAGTGAAGCCATAACCTATTCATTACATGTTTGATTCTTGTTATTCTCAATTTAATATTTCTTTTTCTGGAATGTGTAGCACTATTGTATAATTTAAGAATAGAGAATAGCATAGAAATTAAGATGTTCAAAATGTAAATGTTCTCTTTCTCGTTTGTTAAACATATATAATATGCAGCCATAGGAGGCAGTTCTTCACTGCACATGAAGCACCACTAGCATTTCCGATTCTGTATTATTGGATATATACTTCTTTATATGTTGCTAGACATAAAAGAAGTAACAAATTAAAAGACCTAACATAACCAAACAAACATTCAACAGAATATGATGTTGCACTCCAGTGCTGGCTTCTGAAATTCTACAGAGGGGATCTCTTGCAGCATACCTGCTGATTGTAGAAATGGGAAAAGGCTGGAGAAGGCTGTAAATGAAGTGTGATTTTTGTACAATTAAATAATATATTGATCTCAAATTCTTGATTAATATATATTTATTGATATACTGATTTGTGGTCCACTGTTCTAGCATCGTATGTTTGAATTTTATTAGGGGTTCTGTAAAAACTTCAAATGCAAAAGGGTTTCATGGTCAAATTAAATTGGGAAACCACATGGCTCTGTACATCCAGTCCACCATGTGTCTTCATGGTGTAGTGCTTAATTATTGAAGCACAAGGACAACTTTAGGAGCTGGGATGGCTCAGTCGGTATAGCAACTGGCTACAGGCTGGACAACCAAGAGGTCAGAGTTTGAGTCCTGGTGGAGCCAAGAATTTTCTGTTCTCCACATCATCCAGACAGCTCTGACATCCACCCAACCTCCTATACAATGGGTTCCAGGGGCTCTTTCCCGAGGGTAAAGCGGCTGGGGCATGAAGCTGACCACTCACCTCAGACTATTGTCGAGGTCAAGAAAATGTGGATCTATACATCCGCTCCCCATATGCCTTCATGGCATAGTGCTTACTTATTTAAGCACAAGGATGACTTTACCTTTTACCTTTACCAGGGACAACTTTACCTTTACCTTGTGTAGCAAGTCCTCTTTACATGAGCAGTAGTAAATTAATATAACAGTGTTTTGTTTTTTAACAGAACTTGACATCACAGACCATTGCCACCAAGTGAAGTTACTACATGAAGCAAAATTTATTGCGCGCCATCTGCGTTTCACAATCAGATCTGGATATGACCATGTGTGTGCTGTGTATAGAGTGGAAGTTCAGGGTGTCCACAAGTCAGGAGGAAATGAAATAAGAGGTGATGAGTCCGATGTACTAGAGTCTGGTGGACCACTGACCACTCCAATAAGGCAGGTTGATAGGAGCTTACCAATGGCCCATGTGAATGAAGTAGCACATGCACAGAACTCCATTCAGTCCATACAACATGCATCAAAAGGTAGCCTTTTGGGTGATGGTACTGAAAGATTTGTGGTCCAGTCAGCAGGACGTAGAAATTTTATATCGTCTTCCATGGTACCTCCCTTGTGGAATGAAGAGGATAAGGAAAGAGAGGAAGCATGATACCATGTGATTCTAATCTGAGTTATGGTGATGTTAATTATTAACACATTCACATTATGGCACCTGACACCTATACAGCAGAAATCCAATTCATTTTATTTTATTTATTTTTGAAGATAAGATTTTGTGTATATTTTCACTTTTCAGCAGTATTTGAATGGATATCTTGTTAAATGCTACACTACGTGGAGAATATGCTATTCTAGCTTGCTTAATACTCAGAAAATTGTAATATTTGTCATATACATCCTTTTTATTTGTTTCTGCTTTAACTATGGAGTTAATTTTTTGTTCCTCAGTATGTCAAGTTTCCTACAGAGGGATCAGCTGCTAACAACCATTAAGAAATAGATGAATTACAGGCTCTTAACTCTGACACTCTTGGAAGAATGTTTCCCGTGCTCTGACTGGTGAAGCAAGAGCCACAGATGCATGAAGGTGCTGTCCTACTGTGAATGTGTTAAGAGATGCGATGAAAATCACAAATCACTACACTGATTATATAGCATGTCTACATGTAATGAAGAACTGTCACCTTTATAAGACAGGAGAATTCATTTCACTGTTTGTAACATGTCAGTGCGGCATCTTTCCTAGCTGTGTTCACAATACAATGGTTTATAAAATCCTTGAGGTCCCTGCTTCCCTCACCGTGTAAGCCTTTAGTTCTTATAGGGATTTCATAAACCCCAGTGTAGGGCTTCTAGTCAGTTTCTTTAATGGCTTAAGCCATGTCTCAAGTTACTAAGAGGATAAGGTAATGACTCTTTGGTTGAGCCCTATTCTCACAGATTTTCCACTTGATTTCAGTTTTTAATTGTGAATTACAGGCCTTGTGCCCTCATACAAACCTTGATTATTATATCTCAGATGCTACAAGCCATTTTGACAAGTTTGGGGAAATACTTGGCATCAGCTGCTTTCAGCAGATTCATGTCAATTTTCTTCTGATTCTCATCACAAGTCACTTACATGGCTTTTGTTTGCTGCAGAAATAAATAGTTGCTCTACCACAAAAGTACATTTTTAGAGAGTTAGTAGCTCATCTGTAGGGTCCCATCTCAGAATCTGAACGTTTGCAGTGGCCTCTTTCACAAGTTCATCACCTGATTACACCCTTTCCAGATGATATAACCATGTTTATTTAAATTAATTGGCACCTCCAAGGCTTCTTTTCAATTCTTCATGGATTTATAGCTTGCCTTTCTGTTTGGGAGTGAGTTTGTTAGAGTTTAGTATTGGAGCTCTTGTTTCTTTGTCAGTCATTGGTGTAAAAGAAGCTTCAGTTAAGAAACAGAAGTATTGTAGATGTTAGAATACTTCTCATCCTATCACTCACCCACAGATTATATATGTTTTGTCAACTACTTCACTGACCTCATACCAGGGAGAGACCCACATATAATTTTATTTCAGAATTTGAAGTGTGCTTCACATATATCTGTCTCCTGTAATTTTCCTTCACATTAACGAAATGCTATGCAAGAAACAGTTATATGCAGAATGTCGTAAGTAAAGATGTATACCAAAAGGTCTTAAAACGTCTTGTGTATGTGACCCATCCCTTGACTCCTTGAAGCTGTGTTACAGCACTGGGATCAGATTAAAAAATGTATGATTTATTTTCGTTTTGAATTCTTACCTTGTCTTTTTGAAGGTAAGTAGAAGTGGGTGATTTGTTACACTATGAATCCTTTTACACATGGAGGTACACCACTGCCATGCCACCATGGTCAAACCACCATTCTGTATAGTTAAGTTATATGAAACGTTTCACACTGTGTGGCCATCTAAATGTATTGTGACATGATGCCTGAAAGGTGGAATAGTTCATTGCTAGGCAGTGGCTTGGTAAACATTCCTGTGAAAGCGAATGTGCACAACAGCAGAAGAATGGTGTTTTCTGTGGTCAGCGCCACCATTGTTGCTACACAGTGGTGTGGTAAACATATCTCTGCAGCAATGAATCAACACAATAGAGAAAGCTATGATTTCTTTGGGTGCCGCCCCGAGGCTATATAATGAGGATCTCGGGCAGCTAGAAATAGAATTAATAGTGCCTCCAGAGTTGGCAGTTGGCAGAATAGTTGAGAAGAAATGGTGGGAAAGGAATTAGGCTGTGCAAAGAAAACTTCATAGTGTGCTGCATTTACCGGGAGACTTAGAATCTGTTTCTAGGATATGACTAGTGAAGACTGAGGATGTTGGTGTGTATGTGCATGCACATACGAGAAAGAGAGAGACACACACACACACACTTGTGACTTGTGATAGCACTGTAATTAATTATAGTTCTGAATGGTATGTACAAGTATGTCAATAAATCCAATCCAAAACCTGTCTCATAAGTCACGCATGCCCCCTTACGCATGACAGTATGTATATTGTGGTCATATCACCATGATATTATGGTCATGGTAACTCTGGGTGAAAGGCCTTCATCCTCCATTGTACTCCTGGTTTTATGTTCCATGCATACAGCCACTAGGATTGGACCATATGAGATCAGAACAACTGATCTGTTATAGCATTATGCATGCTAACTCCATCCTGTAATCTGACTGGTCAGTCTCTGCCTGTGTGGCAGAGATATGGTCAAACCTGCAAGAAGAAAACTGTGTTACGTCGTGGTGGCAGGGGGGCGTGGAGGTATCCCACCGCTGCCACCACTGTTATGGCGTGAAGGGGGGGTGGAGGTACCTCCACCGCTTCCACCACTGTACCTCTCTTATGCCGAGGTGACAGAGGGCGTGGAAATATCCCGCTCTGTCACCCTGTTTAGTATGCTGCCACCATCTTGTTATTTTCAAGAAATCTAGTAAACTTATCATAGCTTGCGTCACTGTCCTGGCTTAACTCGTAATTCGCCGGAGTGTTGGGAGGTCCTGGAGTCGTCAAGGAAGAGGGTAACACTTAAGGAATTGCTAGGTTAAAGTAACTCACACGCATGTGTATTCTATTTCTCTATGTCACCATATACATCTATATGCACTCTTACCGACGTTCGTCGGTTGTACTACACTGGATAATGAACCTGCAGTCATCATTGGTTCTACCTCCTGTCACCCTACTGGCGGATATTCTACGCCGCGGTATCTCGAATGAACCTAGTCAATCTAGTTAGACTATCTTTCCCTGTGGTCGGGTTAGCATTCTAATGACTTAGGCATTCCCTGTTACAATTCTTTGTAGACCTAAACTTCCTGGGTCGTTCCATCATGGCTATTTCTTAATCTTACAGTCTAGCTACTATTATTCCAATTTTACCCAAAAACTATATCTACATGTACGTAACTTTAGCGGCATTACAAACTGGTTCATATAATTAAACCTCCCATCACATTTGATATATATTTTTTAACTTCCATTAATTTTAAAATTTATTATTAAGTAATGATATGATAAAACTCCAGTGAAGTTATCTTCTGATTATTTAATGTAAGGGGGCATTTAGTGATATTCCTCTGGTTGGTTGAGAATGCATCCGTCTGTTATGTAAGGCTATGAAAACATGATCTGCAAGATTTGACCACCTTTTCAAGGGATACATTCTAGACAAAGCTAGGAGTGCACCTGTATCGGTGTTCTCTGACTCTTTTCCACCTAGTGGGTTTTCCTCACTTCCAGTACAATGAGATCCTCATTTAAGGTTTGTTTCAAGGGCATGATTTGTGTACCAATGATAGAAACAAAATCTTTTTAATCATTTTTGGAAACTGGCAAAAATGAATGCATAAACCATTGCATCCTGTTACTTTATAACTTGATGAACTTGTGAGTTTCGTTTATTGTCAATGAAAGTTGTTACGTTCATACTTAATTCAGTGAACATGATTTTGTTCCCAGAGTCACCCAGCAATCAGTTCTTCTGTACCCTAATACGAATGAAGTTTTGTTCTGAGAATGCTCATGTCCCTTTTATTGGCGATCTTGGTTGCATACAGTCACATGAACTGGTCTGATTTTCAAGCCTCTTATTATGGACTATACGATTGTGTGGTTTATCTTCCTAAGAAAATGAAGTTAAATAGATAAACCAGGGAAAATGCATCGTAATGGTCTAATTGATCTACATAATTTAAGAGTCAAAATGTTTTCATAATTAATAATGCTTGACTTCAGTATTTCAGATTTTATTAACATTGCTATCAAAACATTCAACTGTGTCTTGTTGAATGAGGCGGTAATTTGTGTGGTTTTTTGGCTTTCAGAAATGCACAACATTGAATGTTGAAAATTGTCCAACATTTCAGCAAATAATGCAGTTTCTCTCATAAGGTTTAATGATTTTGTGGTGAGAGGGGTGCTTGCAGCTCTTATATAGATCTCACATCAGATAACCTGCCTCACTCTCCGAGTCATTAATTCTGATGGCAGGAACTGCGAGGTTTGCTGAAATTTTGGAAAACCTTTAATATTCTATGAGGCATGCTCTTGAAAGCCAAAGTCATGTTGAACCTGAGCCCTGAAAAGCAAAGGCCTGGGTTTGAATGAATAAATGATTAGTGAACTAAAAATATAGAAGGAAGTGGTCCTGGCAGTTCCCTAGAGAGACTAAGGAAGGCAGCATTAAAAGAAAATATTCTTACAATCCTTAAAGTCTCTTCTGTTCAATTATTATGCAAAGAAAATTAAAAGGAATTTTGTGTTTTAAATCTGGTGGACACGATTTTAGTTTCACCTGGCGAAGGTAAATAGGCCCCTGTGCTTAACTAATTAAGCACTATGCCATGAAGGGGTATGGGAGCGTGGATGGATAGATCCACGTTTTCTTGACCATGGCACTAGTTTGTGAGTTGTCAGCTTCACGAACCGGCCACTTTACTTCCGGAGAAAGAGCTCCCAGTGCCTATTGGATATGACGTTGGGTGGACCCCAGATCTTATCTGGACGACGTGGAGAAGAGAAAATTCTTGACCCCATCGGATCTCAAACTCTGGCCCTTCAATCATGCAGCCCCAAGCCAACCGTTATGCCGACTACGCTGTCTGGCGACGGAAAAATATATTTCATTCATTGACTGTTTCTTCGTTCACAAATTTTCATACATCCTGAATGACGTTACATTACCTTCTTTTTTTAATTGCTAGTGGGCTAGGACAAAGTCCCTTGTACTGTGGCCACTTCTGGCCTAATGTACTAGCCTCATATGATGGGTGAGGGCGATTGTGGGGCAATTCGTGGAATGAGGATTGGCAGGGGAAACCGAAGTACTCCGAGAAAACCTGCCCCAGCGTCACTTTGTCCACCACAAATCCCACTTGACCCGAACCCGGGACGCCGCGATGGAAAGCCAGCGACTTACCGCTTGAGCTATGGCGCGGCCTTATATTGCTAACTAGCTTAAGAAATGTCATTTTCGAAGATACAACCATTTAACTACTTCATGGAACTTTGTTTTTCTCATGGGAAATTTCGGGCAAGGGGCACGAATGTACCCTAAAATATACCGTGGATGCCACTGGCACCCTGTCCGCCAAGTGTCACAGTCGGTCACGCTCGTCACGCTGCTCGCATTAATACGATGGATTAGGTTGTCAGCGTGATAGTTCAGTTGTATTTAATTGTTATTTCCCTTGTGTTGTTTAGGAAGTGATCAATGACACCGTTGAGTTCTGTTACACAGTGATTGTAGAGTGGTTCTGAGTGTTGAGATAAGGAATTATAATTTCGTAATGAGAATATTTTTTTGGCAGGATTTATTTGTTTCCTATATGCTACAGGAGTCACTGAAAAAGACGAAGGTACTTTCTGATAACTAATTTTAGCGTGTTATATACCATAAATTATGTTACAACCGAAATATGGAGAATCTAAGCTGAGGGCTACTGGTAAAATGTATTCATGATTCCGGCTCAGGTTTTATTTTTCGTTCCTTAACTTTCTTTTAGCCTGTTTGTTTCAGGACCTTGTAATCCAAATGTTTAGTGTTCTTTCTACATTCTTTATGGTGATGCATATAATGCTTGAAGTTTGCAGGCTAACAGGTATTCCCAGACTGGTTGGTTTATTCATATCCTCTTCTCAATTTAAATATTATTAAATACCGTTTACATTTGGGGGCATGCGGTAGCATACTTGGTTGAGTAGCTTGAGTAGCTGCACAGTTGGCTGTTTCTCAAGAAGGGTTCAGCTCCATGAAGTTCGTTAATTTATCTAGTTCTGTATGAGAATGAACTGTGCTCTTGTAATCTTAGGGAGAACATCAAGGTACATTGTGAATTATACAGATCCCCTGAATGTGGAATCTACAAGGCCAGGCTAGAAATGTAGTGTGATAGGGAAATAAGGAATATACCCGCAGTGTTGGTGGGGGAACTTTTGGTGAAACATTCACTGGCAAAACTAACAAGAAAAAGGAGGATGGAGGGAGGATAACACTGAGTTAGTTTTATATTATATTTAAGCAAAGGTACATGTACAAAAACAGACCCTGTCTTAAGTTACTGGTGATCACTATTCCATGGAATGTGCAGAATGATCCATGCATTTCTGCTAGTTCTGTATGAACTTTAATATGCCACTGCAGTGAAAGATCACTTCAATATTTTGCAACAATGTACACACAGTTTGCTGGACTGCTTTGTCATTTTCACAGTGCTGGCCTCTCATGCAATGTTTTAAGGCCTGGCACATGTGGTAGTCTGAAGGAACCAAGTCCAGACTGTAGGGAGGATGGGGAAACACTTCACAGCCAAACTTTTCAATTTTCCATGATGTCAGGCATGCAGTGTGATGATGTGCATTATCATGTTAAAGAATGGTGTGTCTTTTCAAGGGTGCTTGTCACAAATTGCAGATAACAGTGTCAAACATGTGCATGTATTGAACTGCATTGACAGTTTCCTTTCTGGGTAGGAAATAACCAGTGGTGGTGGTGGTGGTGGTGGTGGTGGTGGTGACGACAGTTCTTGGTTGACTATGGTGAGAGAGACTGGTGATGGCCCTGCTTCCATCTTTGAAGCATTCGTCCGATGTGACACACTACTGATACCCATGCAGCAATCACCATAGACATCAAATGTACTTGGAGGAAAGTTGTTCTCCTTGTTGAGAAATTCATTCACAGCATGCAGGCAAAATGATTCGTCATTTACAGCCATTTTTTGAAGCAGATTTTGGATAAGTACTGACATGCATGTGTTCAATCTTATTTCAGTTTGAAAAACCAGATACAGCTATCGACTATATGACTGCAGGTCTCATTATGCTGATAAAACATTCATAGATCAATGCCGGTATGATCCTTGTAAGCTGTGAGGATGGGTGATAGCTGGGACTTAACTCAAGAGTTTGTCTGATTGGAAGCATTGATACTAGCAGTACTGAAACTTCAGGTTTTATTACCAGAGAGTCAGTTAAGAGGGTCAAAGCTTAGAGACTCAGACTAAGGCAGTTTTGATGATGGCTGCGCCATAGCTCAAGCAGTTAGTTGCTGGCTTCCCACCGCGGCGGTCCAGGTTCGATGCTGGGTCTGGCCAAGTGTGATTTGTGGTGGACAAAGTGGCGCTGGGGCAGGTTTTTTCCAAGTACTTTGGTTTCCCCTGCCAATCTTCATTCCACCAATTGCTCCACAATCACCCTCACCTGTCATTTGGGGCTGGTACAATAGGCCAGAAGTGGCCGCAGTACAAGGGACTTAATCCCACCCCACTAGCAATAAAAAAAAGTATTTTTGAAGTGTATTTTTTAGGAGTCTGAACATGTATGTCTGTTTTAAAATCAACATTTTTTCATGTCTGCAGGGCTTCGTTTCTTTCTGTCACAGTACACAATTCTGGTAACAGATGCCAGAGAATGGTTGGTAGTCATAAATATACAAAATGAATTCAACAACTGAAAGACATTTACAAGCAGTAACCAGTCTTAATCCATCACATGCATTGCAGGTTTGTACTTTTTATGTGTCATACAAAATGTGACAGTGAACTTTGTCTGGGTTTGAATCAACAGATATCAAGATCAAGATGATTACAACAAATATTACTGTCCCTGTAGTTACCTGTTGATGTGTTATGCCAGTCATGACTCTGATTTCCATTTTTCTCAAAATACAGCTTTATATATGAGCTCTGCGAATATAAATTCAATAATAATATCAAGGAATAAAAATTCATCAAACTAACAATGAGATATTTGATGTAGAAATTAAGTAAGATTCAATATGTGTATGTCAAGAATAGAGAAATTTGTATACATGTATATATCTGAGAGAAGTGAATAAAACTAGATTTATGATTGAATTAAGAGAAAAATAAGTTGAGAGAATTTTTATTATTACTTAGTTAAAAACTTACTGTCTACCTGCTTTCCAAAATATTAAGCTGTAAGATATAGGGACCAATTATTATGTTTTGTTTTATGCATATCTGGATTGCAGTCTTTCATTCTGAGAAAAGTACATAAATTATGAGTGTTTGAAACCAAAGTTCTAGCAAGGGAATTCAGATCAGAGAGCTAGAAGTAACTTTGTTATTTAAACTCCTTGTGCACAGGGCTGTTCAACTTCAAACCACTGAGGGACTGCATTGTATGTATATATTAGGTACCTACTTGTGGACCACATTATAAATTTTATTTTCTATAATATTGATATAAAAATATTTGCTCTGCTGTGATCATATTTATGAAGCAGAGACATGCAAATCAGAATAGTCCAATAAACTTAAAAATGCCTGTTTAAATGTAATGTATTATAATGTTACCAAAATAAAAAAGAAATATTTTTTTTCTGGCGGAAGAAAAAATTCCCACTTTGAATTGTTTTCAGTGTGAGCAATCTAGATGAATGTCCGCATTTCCTGGAGTAGGTATATATATATATATATACATTCCAGTAGTAGTAGTAAGTCGAAGTAAGTGGGAAAGAAATTTATCTGTTCATGAAAATGCTTGAAGTCTTCAGTGGTTTCAGCCTTTGTTGTCTATTAGGTGCTATTGTAAAATCAATTGAAAAATTACACAGAATGTTTAGTAAATACTCTTGTAAAGTTTTGTTGACAAGATATGCCACTTCTTTATGTGAGTGTGTGTGGGGGTTTCATGTGCTCATGCACTTTCATCCATGGAGCAGAGTGAGGCATTAATACGTATTTTGGTGAATGAAATTGCACTTGGAGGTTGCACGAAAGCAGACCTGCATCCTGCAATTTGGACAGCCCTATTTTAGGATAGTAAAGGGAGTAGATACATATCTTGGATGGGATAAAAAATAAATCCCTATAGAATTTGGTAGGGAAACATCCTGGAAAGTAATCCCCTTGAAATTTAAAATGTAGATAAGGGAATGTTGAGAATGAGGTCCAGTGTTGAATCCCAACACCAGACGATGGGCTGGTTAGACCTCTTATCATGGAAACATGTCACAGAACATCAAACAGTTCTGACTGAAACTGCATACTTCACTTTTTAATTGAGCTATTAATTTCACTTCTTCATGGCTTGACACATGTTTGTTCATTGTAGAACCTTGTATCTGCAAAATTTGTTTTAGACTTCAACTGTAGTGCAAGATGCAGTTTTCCGATAAACCAGGTGAAAATTTTGTAAAATGAAGTTAATGTATAGATGAATTTTTTAGGTCAGCAGTTCTGAAAATGTTTGTTCATGTGCTGTCCTGTTAATAAAAGTACTTTTCAGCACAGTCTTCACTGTTATCTCTTTCATTAAACATCTAGTTCTACAATTATGAATCCTTATGTGCACACAGCATTCTATACCTTTCAGCTCCTGAACTCCTTGTTGGATCTAATGACATTTTATAATCGAAGCTCACTGAACGTAGTAATAGAGTATGAATTTTTCTCTGATCAAATAATTGGGACTGAAACATTACTCAGACTCAGTGATTTATGTTGTTAGACACACACTAAATTGAAAGTAAATATAGTGATGAATGCTGCAGCCCATGCAGGAATATGGTCCATATATTTGATTGTGTACATACCATTTTTGTACTGTGAGCTATTTTTGAGAAATTTGATGGATTATTATTTGAACATGAAGGAGATAAGGAATGTGTATTGCCTCTTTTTCATTTTATGATTTGAATACTGGAGTGACATGTTTGTTTCAGATATGTGGTGAAATAAGTGGCATGCTCATTTCTTCATTGAAAATATGATTAATTTTTCATAATGGCTGCTTCTTCAAGTCTGGATGGAGCAACAGTTGCAACTTCTGAGTCAAAGAGCTCAGAAAATCAAAAGGTTAATGTTTCATTTGGTGCTATGTTAATGTAACTACTTTTGTAGTTAGATATCATGAGAGCTGTCTGTTTAAAGTGAGTGATGAAGAGGGGAAGGTTCTGCATGTGTATCAGTCTACATTCCAATTAACAGCAGCTCTTACTTTACATCAATACTTTAGTTACATTTGGTCAGCAATCATCCACTGCAGTCAATGTTTTTGAAATTGCTGCCACACCACAAGGCTGCTCAGAATCTTCACCAGACCATGTTAAATGAAGTGTAGCCTGGGAACATGGGAATGCAGCTTGCAAGATATATGGTGATATCACTGTCTCCATGGAATAGAATCCTTTGTGAGAAGCTATAGTCATTCAACTACTTAAATTCCCAAACATTTTTTGGAACCAAATGGTTAATCCCTATCCTGTGCTAATGGAATCCAATTACATACGCCCACCCTGTTTCATTCAGGCCAGTATTTACTATTGTGGCATGATACTCAAAAGCCAGAATAGTGGAGTGAGAGAAGACATCTGTTTCTAGGCAACAGCTCAGTAATGATGTTCTCTATGTAGTTCACATCAAAGTTATAAAAGGAAGACCAGAGAGGCCAAGTAATGCATGCGGCTATTTAATTTAGAATCTTCTGTCTTGTGCTTGCTGTATAAAAACATAATGATTAAAATATACCAGAGTATGATTGTGCCTGTAGTTTTGTGTTGGTGTGAAACTTGGTCTCTCCCATTAAGGGAAGGACATCTTCTGTCTTGTGCTTGCTGTATAAAAACATAATGATTAAAGTATACCAGAGTATGGTTGTGCCTGTAGTTTTGTGTTGGTGTGAAACTTGGTCTCTTCCATTAAGGGAAGGACATGGAATGAAGGTGTTTGGGAACGGTGCAGAGGAGAATATTTGCACCTAAGAAGGTTGAAGTTATAGGAGACTAGACAAAATTGCTTAGTGATGATCCTCATAACTTCCACTCATCAAATATTGATAGTGGTCAAGTTAAGGAGGATGAGATGGGCAGGGTATGAAGCATTCATGGGAGAAAAGAGGAGTGTGTACAGGATTTTGATATAAAAACCTTAAGAAAGAGTCCACTAGGAAGACCTAGATGTAGATAGGATGATAATATCAAGATGGATCATAGAGAAATAACATGTGATGGGGGGTGGGGTGTGAATGGATTCATCTGGCTCAGGATAGAGACCAGTGGTGGGCTCCTGTGTATGTAGTAATGAACATTCAAGTTCCATAAAATGCTGGGAATTACCTGAAAAAGTTAGGAACTAACTGTTGACTTCTCAAAAAGGACTACGATGGGTACCCAAAAGAAACTGAACTAATTTTTTCGTGGACAGAGCTTTTGTAGTACCGCGTTTTACTGCTATCGCGCGTAGAGCTAACATTTCTAAGTCGATAAGCTGACTACCGTTGCTTCAGAAGGTAAGGACTAGTTTCAGCAGAGTTTATAGTGACAACTGTTTTGTGTGATCATCGTTTTTGCAATGGCTGATTTTCGTGAACAGCGTGCATCGGTGAAATTCTGCTTTTTGCTCTGGAAAAGTGGAACAGAAACTCTTGAAATGTTAAAAACGGTGTACAAGGACGATGCTATGGGGAAAACTCAAGTGTTTGAGTGGTTTTCCCGTTTCAAAAATGGTGAAATGTCAATTGATGACAAACCTCGTTCTGGTCGTCCTTCCACGGCCCGAACACATGAAAATGTTGAAAAAATTCGTGAAATCATCAAGGAAGATCGACGACGGACCATTGAAGAAATTGTGGAGCTGTCAGGAGTGACTTGGAGCTCAGTTCAGCGAATTTTGACAGAAGATTTGGGAATGAAAAGGGTGGCTGCGAAATTCGTGCCACGACTGCTGACTGCTGAACAAAAACAAGGTCGCGTGGAAGCATACTGTGCTTTGAAAGAAGAGTCCCGAAATGATCAAAACTTTTTTTCAAAAAGAGACATGAAAGGAAAGCGTTTTGCTGATGTTGCTGAGGTGAAGGAAAAAACGACGGAGGCGCTGTCAAGCATCTCCAAAGATGAATTTAGACAATGTTTTGAAAAATGGAATAAAAGACTAGACAAGTGTATTAGTGTGAGTGGAGAGTACTTTGAAAGGGATTGAAGGTTTGTGCTTAAAATTTGAATAAAAAAGTGTAGAAAAAAATAAGTTCGGTTTCTTTTGGGTACCCCTCGTATGGTCCATGGAATTAGTTTATTTCTAAAAAAGGCCTTTTTAAAGAACAGGCACTTAGCTAGTAGGAAATATATGTGTACATATAAAATTTAAACAGGTACAGTGGTCTCCATGTTTTACTTCTGCCATAAAAATAAATGCGGCAGTCCCTCACTAATGGGTTACATTATTAAAAAAAATGTGATAGGTAAAATCAGGCCCTTATAGGACCACACAGTGATGAAAAATATGTCTAACAATCAAACAAATCATATATCTACAAAATTATAGGTATATATGGTCTAAAATATGAAAAAATATTACATAAGAGTATGGATGAGATCATGAGTGAAATAAAACATGATGTTGAAATGAGAAATAAAGAATTTTAAGTGATAATTTATACATATGACTCAGTACTTCAAGCACAGATAGAAGATGACTTACAGAGACTGATCTACGAATTCAAGCCTGCTGCAAATAAATACAACATGAAATTTTCACAAAATAAAACAAAATTATTAACAGTATTCATAGAGCCTCTAAGAGTTAACTGGAAATAGAAGCAAACCATGAAATTAAAAGTTTATGAATGTAAATCAGCAGCCACAGTAGACTAGTTGAGAAAACTGTAAATCATGCAGACAATGCCATCATCAACAATAAATCTAAACCAATTCTATATGCACATGACACTAGTATAATATTTAAGAACTCTAAATTTGAAAACTTTAAAAATGACATAAATATTGTATTTGAAGCCTTAAACAGATGGTTCGAAGCCAATTTACTCTCATTAAATTTTGATAAAACCCATTACATATCATTCACAACTAAAAACAACCACCAAATTGATCTGGACATCAGTTATGCCAACAAATTAATCTGTAAAGTACTTGATACAAAATTCCTTGGAATACATGTAGACAGTACACTGTCTTGGAAAATACATATTGAACAAATTATACCTAAATTAAATGCAGCTTGCTATGCGATGAGATCAATTAAGCCTTTTATGTCACAGGAAACATTGAAGATGGTTTACCATGCCTACTTTCATTCTATTATGAACTATGGATTAATATTTTGGGGGAACTCTTCACATAGTGTAATAATTTTTAAAATACAAAAGAATATAATTAGAATCATTACAGGATGTAGAAGTAGAGATTCATGTAGAGAATTATTTAAGAAATTAAAAATTCTACCTCTTCAATCGCAATACATATTATCGCTTCTCTTATTTGTTGTTTACAACAAAGATAAATTCAAATTAAATTCTGATGTCTATAACATGAATACTAGACAAAAATATAACTTCCACCTACCCTCATCAACTTTATCAGTATATCAAAAAGGAGTCTACTTTACTGGCATAAAAGTGTTCAACAATCTGCCACAAAGTATTAAAAACTTGGGCAATGATACTAAAAAGTTTAAATCAGAGTTAAAGAATTATCTACATGCTCATTCCTTCTACTCTTTAGATGAATACTTCAATGTAAATAGAGAATGATGTAAAATTAAGTTATATTAATTTTTAAGCTAAAATTGCCTGTACTTATGTATGTAACCTTTTGACTTGTTCTGTATCCAAAGGTACTAACCTACTTAGGATTTATAGAATGTAAATAAATTCAATTCAATTCACAGAGCTGAATTCTTAAATAGCACCATGTGGAACAACAAGAACCCAAGAAAAGAAACCAAAGCAACAATATATTAATCAGTTGTGAGGTCCATCTTAGTTACATGGCTGTGGAAGCAAAGCTGAAGCGCATGAAATCAGTGAAATCTATGAGATGAAATTATTAAGAAATGTTATACAAAAGATCATAAGGGATAAAGTTAGAAGCTCTGTTACAAGAGATGACTGTGAAACTGAACCAATAAACAAGTGGTTTAATAACAGAAGATTGAAATGGAATGAACACATGGAGAGAACAAAGGGTAGCAAAGTAGTAAGAAAAATGATAAATTTGGTACCAAACAGGAGGATGAGCTAGAGGAGGCCAAAAGAGAGGTGGAAGGATACAGTCAAGCAGTAAGACTGAATGGATGCAACAAGCCACAAGGCTTAATCCAAAAAGAGAAGAAAAATATACTGAAACGATAATTTGGAAGTTAGAGCACTGGTCTCGGATGCCATTACACTGCTGCCTCCAACAAATGTGATCCTCTTGGTGTGGGAACTACCATTTTCTTGATGTGTACCCATATTGAAAACTACAGATATGTGGAATGAAATATTCTGGCTGGCAAGGCATGCTACAAATGGAAAACTGCAAATTTAATAAATCTATGTTTGGTAAAACTGCAGTTGGCCAGGTTTACTGTGCAGCAAATATTGTGTGTGTAATAGATGTTCAGTGTTTTTAGTTCCATGTAAATAGTGGGTCCCTTGTTGTAAGTTGAGATATGTTTATTCTTGAAGGATGCATCTTCTGCTTGAAATGATACTGTGTACTTTTACTTGTAGTTGCCACTGTGTTGAAGAAACATACTATCTCCATCATCTGTCATACAAATATAGACAGTGTTCATCCAAAATATTGGTAATTATCTACCAGACTTCACAGTATCATCCCAGAAGACGATACTTGTCATTTCATCACTGTGAGAACCTCAAACCTCACCTGTAACTTATTTCAGGACTCTGCCACCTTGAATGATAATGATGTTCATTCTTGGTTTGGGCTAAATATGGGAATTGGTGAACTATTGCAGAACTGGGGTTTGCTGAACCTTAGTCCCTTCCGCCGCAAGTCAAGTAAACCTGGTACATCATCCCCTTCAAACCAGTCACCACAGAGGCAGATGCAGGCCTCTGTTAAAAGAAGTCCAGATGCAGAACACATTGAACTGGTACAGCTATCAAATATCAAGGTACAGCAATATTGTATTAAACTGTGAAGTTCTAATACATTAGCAGTTCTCATGAAATTTGTATTTGAAATGTATTGTAACAAATGTCAATGCTTTAAACACATCTTTCATTTAAATATTTTACATTTGTAATAGCTTCATTTCAACCTTTTGAGTGCTGCATTATGATTTCTTTGCATCTGTTTTGTTATGTGCCAGATTATTTATATGTATATTTGTTGATACAGTGACCACTAATTGGAGGTAATCGAAACATGTTATACAACAGTGTAAATACAATTGAATTAAGAATAGCAATGCCAATAATGGTTTCCATCATAGTGGCTAGGAATTTCATTTTGTTCTGACAAAATGTCGATAAAGTTGATGTTGGAAAATATATTTGCATGCTAATGCAAGATCTTGTATAATCTTCATACTGGGGGCACACAGTAGTGTAGTTTGTTGAGGCACTATGCTACATGTCAGAAGGTCGCAGGATTGAATCCCGATGAGGTGGATTTTTTTCAGTTTACCTAATCCTTCCAGCTGCACTATAGCCCTGGGGTCAACTCAGCCTCTAACAGAAATAAGTACCAAGAATATTCTTGGGGGTAAAGGGTGGCCGGTGCATAAGGTTGACAACCTTACCACCATCCATGAGCCAACTGTCTAGAAAATGTGAGAACCTCAACATCTCACAACCCAATGGGCCTCCACAGCCTGTTACAGTGATACCTTTACTTTACTTTTGCTGAAGTCCATCTGTCCCATCCTGTTTTTCCCAAAGAGCACATCAAGCGGGGGGGGAGTCTGTAAAGGCAAAAAATCTTCCTTTTGGAGAAACATTCCCAAGATAATTGTTAATTTTGCTGCTACATGCATGGGTCTGAGTCCAAGCCAACTTACTTCCCCTTTTCTTCCTCTGTAAAAAGGTGCTGGAGTCATGACATAAATAGGATCATTGCTAGGATATGGCAGAAATCCAAACTGTTTACAATATTATATTTAAGTATCCTGTTGCACTCTACACGATAAATGATACAAAATCCGTCCCAAGTGCAAACAATATATATTATATGTCCTTGATCTTGTTCTCCTCTACACTACATGTTTCGGCTTCTATCGGCCATCATCAAGAACTAGCCGCTGCAGCACTTAGACATAGGGCGAGTAACCCTAACAATTTTAAATTTAAAATTTAGAGAAATCTTTAAAGGATTTTAAAATTATAACTAAAGATTTTATGGTGCTATTACAGAGAAACCAAAATTGACGTGTGCAAAATAATCTACATACCAGACAGATATCAACGCGGTAGATGTTGATAATAACGAAGAAATAACAATGTGTTTTTTAAATGTTAAATTTTAGACTGGGTTCAGTGTGGCAGTAATGTAAGAGTATACATCTGATGATGGCCGTTAGAGGCTGAAACATGTAGTGTAGAGGAGAACAAGATCAAGGACATATAATATATATTGTTTGCACTTGGGACGGATTTTGTATCATTTATCCAAACTGTATTGTGCCATACAGGGGAAAATCCAAACTGTCTCCTGTCATTGGTAGATAAGGGAGAGGAATGTTAATAGGATGAACATGTAAATGGGATGAGAAGGGATTATGTGAGAAAAAGTGGAAGTAGATGAGAATATGAAATTGATGAAGGTACAGAAAAATGGAGATGAGAGAATTGTTTAACTTGAATGTAAGGTTGGGACGAAAGAGGAACTGCTGATAATAGGACATGCATTAGCTGGAAAAGAAAGCAAAGTAACCACCATGAAAAACAAAAATAGTTTCTGCAATGGTACATAATGTAACGTGGATGGCGCAGCAGGACGTAGGGGTCACGTGAACTCTGCGTTTCCACGACTGACGTCACATACCCCCACTCCTTCCATCACTATGCAACACTTGGTAAACACCCCTCCCCCCTAGGCTGTGGCATCATGCAACAGGTGAGTCCATGCAGTGACTATTGCTAGGCAATCTGTAAACAGTGTGATTACCCAACAGGGAATAGTTCACAGGGAAGCATTTTCCGCTGTCTGGCTGAGGGTTTATAAGAGAAACTGGAATGCCTAAGGAGGGCAGTTGCAGTCTAGCATTCACTGGAGTTAGTTGAGCATTAACAGTTAGTTGCCAGCCTTCAAAGAGAGAGTATTCAGTATGAGTTGAAATCTAGCCATTATGAGTTGTTGAGTGAATGGAATCAAGACATTTGAGGCCTGGAAGTGACTACAGCAGAAGCAATTGGAACAATGAATTTGTGAATTGTGTAAGTCTAAGAGCTAATGTGCAATAAATTCGCTAGATTCAAAATGACATCAAGTTGTTTGTTGTGTCACATACCCAACATGTGACAGTATTTTCCTGCATTGGAACACAAGTTACTTACATTCAAAATATTGAAATTTAGCTTTCCACAAATTTACAATTAATCTACATACCAGACACATATCAACGAGGTAGATGTTGATAATACGAAGAAAATAACAATGTGTTTTTAAATGTTAAATTTTAGACTGGGTTCAGTGTAGCAGCAATGTTAAGAGTATACACCTGATGATGGCCGATAGAGGCCGAAACATGTAGTGTGGAAGAGAACAAGACCAAAGACATATAATATATATTGTTTGCACTTGGGACGGAGTTTGTATCATTTATCGTATTTTTCCACAAATTGTTTGACACACATTTCATCAAGGAATGACTTGAAATCTGATGCTGTAAATCATTAGAAAGATGTATGAAAACATTTTGTCCATATTAGTCATGGGCTGTCATTGTACAGATAAGCCTGATACTATTTTTAGATGTACTAGAGTGTGTGCAAAAATCTGTGTGATAGAACTCTTACTTTGGGGGAAGGAACAAATATGGAGATTGTAAGTGATTTAATTTGTCGATTACTCATCCCAGTGCAGTTTAAGATGTGCATAGTCTTTGACTAAGTGGACGCTGCATTCACAGGTACAAATCCCATCTAGGGCATGGATGTTTGTGTGCTTTTTGTCACCGATATTCATCCTTCTCATTGCCATAATACTCTTAACTTGGAAGTTCTGCAGTAGACTATCCCCCCATGCACATAACAATTTTATGAATTTTGATAAAAGATGAAAACATTCTGATTGATACAGATGGAAGTCATGTCTTAGACTTGAAATATTTGTAGTAATATCAGCACATTTCAGCGTATTTCATAAAAACAAAAGCATTACTGTAAGGAGTTTTGTCCCTGATGAATATCTGTTCCCACCAAAATTTCCAACTTAAGGATTTGCAGACTGCTTCATAGCAAATTTAGGCTACATCTAACACACTCTTATGCCACAAACATTTATAGAACAAGTGGGACAAATAGATTTTAATGCTGTTTGAATTTTAATCCACATTGACTCAACTGAAATATATGGTGAAACACGTTTATTTTTAATACGGTGTACACACTGACCACCTTGTTATCTTCTATTCTTCACTGTTGTAAGCAATATCTGCCAGTTGCTGAATTATTCATTGAATGTTTGTTTTCTTTTTAACTTATTTCCAGGTTTCAGATGCATTATGGAAAAATATTCATGGTAAAACAGCAGTGCCAGGTGATGTGTTTTTCACAAATATGCCATTAATGGTAACTGCTAAGCCAGTTTTGCTGAAGCATGAAGTAGAGCAACAAGTTTGCAATGTGGATTTCGTTCAGATGAATGAACAGCCTGAAACTCGAGAAACCAAGCTGAAAAATTCCACAGCTCTTGTTTGGACAGATGAAGAGGTAACTTCACCCATAATTCTCCTTTATCATAGTTTCAGCCTATGTATATTCCTATGGACTGTCATAATATTGTATTACTTTGAACATAAGACACACATTTTTTTCCTATTGAGAAATTGAAGTGCATCTTAAATTCAAGGAAAGCACACCTTTCTGATTTTTTTCCTAAGACCCACATTCAAAAACTGGATGCACCTTAAATTTGATGGTCTGTTATCTTTGAAGTAATATGGTATATTGTTCAGAAACATACAAATGTATAAAATTACACCCTTCATTGTGTCATTCCTCTTTTCATCACTTCAGTATACCCTGTTATGGTTAAACCCTCAAATTATTGCTTAATTGATATTGGTAGCTCTTACCCATTTCAGCTGTGACTGCAAATCCAGTCTGCATTTGGCACTCCCACAGTGGTAATGTTGAGGGTGATTTCTGACATAAGTAACGTATGGCTTGACAATTGGTTCTGAACCATGATGGGGGCCTGGTATTCCTTACATTCACATATCTTATTTATGTCAGAGGTGCAGTAAGGAAAATGAAGAAAGTGTATGCTGGATAGAGATGGGTTTAAACGCAGAACAGAAATCCACTGCTTTAACCCTGGACCATTATATTCCCATCCCCTGGATCTAACCAAAGGCAAGGAAGAATTACCCTTTTTCTTTACAACAAATACTTCATCTTTCTAGCCAAAACCAGTCCATGAACTTGACCATTAGTGTGTTGGAAATGGTAAAAAGCTGTGTATCTTGAATTACTGGATTAAAATGAAACTGGCTTAATTATATCACATAAATGAAGGTGTGACAATATTTGTGAGCTTATTTTCAGATATGAATGTGAGGGATCGAGTGTGTTATATGTAGAGATAGAATGGGATGGTATGGATTGGATTGATCTGGCTCAAGATAGGGAATGGTGGGGGGGCTCTTGTGAACAGAGTAATGAACCTTCAGGTTCCATAAACTGCAGGGAAATTCTTGAGTAGCTGCAGAATTGGCAGCTCCTCAAGAAGGGCGCAGCTGCATGAATAAGCAAGTGTGTTATACGAGGGGGTACGCAAAAGAAACTGAACTTATTTTTTTTTAAACTTATTTATTCAAATTTTAAGCACAAACCTTCAATCCCCTTCAAAGTACTCTCCACTTACACTAATACACTTGTCTAGTCTTTTATTCCATTTTTCAAAACATTGTCTAAATTCATCTTTTGAGATGCTTGACAGCGCCTCCATCGTTTTTTCCTTCACCTCAGCAACATCAGCAAAACGCTTTCCTTTCATGTCTCTTTTCATTCGAGGAAACAAAAAAAAGTTTTGATCATTTCGGGACTCTTCTTTCAAAGCACAGCATGCTTCCATGCGACCTTGTTTTTGTTCAGCAGTCAGCAGTCGTGGCACGAATTTTGCAGCCACCCTTTTCATTCCCAAATCTTCTGTCAAAATTCGCTGAACTGAGCTCCAAGTCACTCCCGACAGCTCCACAATTTCTTCAATGGTCCGTCGTCGATCTTCCTTGATGATTTCACGAATTTTTTCAACATTTTCATGTGTTCGGGCCGTGGAAGGACGACCAGAACGAGGTTTGTCATCAATTGACATTTCACCATTTTTGAAACGGGAAAACCACTCAAACACTTGAGTTTTCCCCATAGCATCGTCCTTGTACGCCGTTTTTAACATTTCAAGAGTTTCTGTTCCACTTTTCCCGAGCAAAAAGCAGAATTTCACCGCCGCACGCTGTTCACGAAAATCAGCCATTGCAAAAACGACGATCACACAAAACAGTTGTCACTATAAACTCTGCCAAAACTAGTCCTTACCTTCTGAAGCAACGGTAGTCGGCTTATCAACTCAGGAATGTTAGCTCTATGCGCTCATAGCGGCAAAACGCGGTACTACAAAAGCTCTGCCCACAAAAAAATTAGTTCGGTTTCTTTTGGGTACCCCATCGTATATAGTGAAGTGGATTCAATGTGGTAACAAAAAATGAAATTCTAAATATCTGTGAACATACTGGGGAAATAGTGTTTGTAATCAAGTTACAACAGATTTTCTGTAGATCTGTATACCACCTCAAAATATTACGAGCCATGATGATATACCAGAAGGATTGGAAATTGAATATTTTTTAATCATTGGTTATTAAATATATGTTGTTTTTTTTTTTTGTTTTTTTTTTTACATTATGGCTGAAAATGTGTTTGTGTAGTCAGCCTCTGCAACTGCATTATTGTTGTCGGTATGATATGTAAACATGTTAATATTCAAGAGTCTTCGGCATCTTGATAAATATTCAAGCACTGTTCAGCACATATTTAGAGCTGTTTTTAGTAACACAGAGTCTCTATAACACACATGTGGATTGGCTACCTATGCCAGTCACATCCCTCCATAGTTTTTTATTAACTGAAAACCTCATTTGAACAAAAAGGCTTTCAATTTTAGCCTCAAGATTCACATGATAAACTTATAATATGAAGTGTGAAATTAAAATATTTTCATAACTAAATGAAGAAAACCTTTAGTATTAATACTGGGCACCACAATGGAAATTTTAGATTCTATATCGACCCAGTTCCTAGGGTTTGTGTAGCCTATTTTGTACTGTTAACATTGTTCATGAAATAGATTTCAGCATCTTTCATTTTTCCAAAAGATTTTTATATAGGTGTGACTTTGTATAGCTTTCTGAATTACTTTGATGTAACACTGTTAAATAACCAGAGATGAATTTGAAATGTTTTGTTGGCCTGTTTCAGGTGTTCAGCATTGCAGTAAAATACATATTAATAATTTATGTAGAGTTTTTGACGTTATATTTTATACAGAAGAGTGTGATTAAATATTTCAGTTAAGGGTACTCTTTGAAAATAGTTTTAAAAAAATACCGGTGATCAGTATTTCAGACATGGAAGACATAACTGTGCAGGTCAGGATGTTGCTGATTTCTCCTGACATCATACCACCCAGGATTTTAAATCCCCTCTTGTACAGGTGGCATTAACATAAACATTTTAACTATTTTAATTGTTTGTCACAATAGTAACTCTGTTCATAACTATAACAACAGCAGTTATTGATTGTGTGTGCTTGTGCATGTGCTGGAATCAACAAAAACAAAAAATGTGTGAAGTTGGGAGAAATGTAAAATCTGAGAACACAGAATTAAATTTTCATTGTGTATTTTGCCTGCACACCTCATTTGTATAGATGCCTATTTTTCTTTAGAGTGCATTGCCCTGAATAGTTGAAGATGTTGTGGTGGATGGCTCAGGTTTCATAGGTTATGAAACCTCATTGTCTTATGAAACTTGTCACTGGTCTCTAATGAAAAGTAGTTAGGTGATAAAATCTTTGAGGTATTGATGAAGAATTTTATTAATATGGCTATTCACTTGCATTGTAAATTGCACATTTACAGGCTCCGCTAATTAATATGTATTTCCATAGGTTTGGCATGATGATGTATGTTTTACATGAATAAACTTTGGCTTAGTTCTTTCTTTCATTTTTCCTTCCTTTCATTCTATTTCCTGAAATTTTGAAAATGAACAGGTATTTCTAAAATTTATTTTAAATTGTATATAATTAATTGAATAAAAAGTAAAAGTAAATAAAGGTATCCCTGTAACAGGCGTTGGAGGTCTATAGGGTTGTGAGATGTTGAGGTTCCCACATTTTCTAGACAATCTGCTCATAGATGGCGGTAAGGTTATCGGCCCTACGCGCCGGCTGCACTTTACCCCTAAGAATATTGTTCAATTGTTCAATATTCCAAGAATTTATTTCTGTTAGAGGCTGAGTCAACCCCAGGGCCATAGTGCAGCTGGAAGGGTTAGGTAAATTGAAAAAAATCCAGTGACCTCATTGGGATTTGATCCTGCAACCTTCCAGCTTGTAACATAGTGCCTCAACCATCTATGCTATTGCATGCCCCTATAATTAATTGAAGTCCTCAGCTGACCTATTCTTCATTAGAGCATGCTTCCAAGCCTCTTTTCTTCTTTCTTGATGCCACACACCACCATATTCATCATTTGTTGTTTTGTCAGCAGCTGCTGACTAAAACTTTTGTGTTCATCTGCTTTTTCAGTGTGGTCTTAACTGGCAGTGAAGATGTTTTGTTTGTATCTTGTCTGATCAGTATGGTTCCTGCCTAGCTGTTAATTTCAGAACATACGTTTTTGATTGTTCTTAGAGATTAGTTGATTTTCTGTCAGTCTTGATTTCCATCACAACTGACAACTGTTGGACCACATTTTGACAGAAATATCTTGTTAACCTTCATTAAGTAATGTACCGTAGTTCCGTTGGCTAGTCGCCAGTTTCTTACTGCATTGGCCAAGTTTCTGTTCTGGGTCAATTAATTTTTAGGTGGACAAAGTGGCACTGGAGCAGGTTTTCTCTGAGAACTTCGGCTTCTCCTACAAAATCTCATTCCACAGAATGTTTCATATCTCCCATCTGTCATCTGGGATCTGTATAATGGATTGTTGAAGGCTTGGTCTCATTCTGCTCTAAAGAGGACTGATACATAACAAGTTGGGGGATGCATGGTAGCATAGTAGGTTCTGGCACTATGCTACAAGCCGGACGGTCATGGGTTTGAGTTGAGGTGAATTTTTTCAGTTTACCTAATCCTTCCAGCCACACTATGGCTCTGGGGTCATCTCAGCTTCTAATAGAAATGAGTACCAGGAATCTTTCTGGTGGGTAAAGAGTGGCCGGTGCATAAGGCTAACACCTTACAACCGTCTGTGAGCTGATTGTCTAGAGCAAGGGTCTCCAAACTACAGTCCGTGGGCCACATCCGGCCCATGAAACAGTTGTGCAGAAATGCACCAATTGAACTAATTTTCCAATGAGTACTGGTAAAAAAATACTTGTTCATATATTTCAAATTCATTAATTAAGATTGTGTTTAAAATCTATTGATATTCCATATTATGTTAATATTAATATTATTCAAATTTTACTAATTCTGGGACCGTATACTGCGCGGTATTTCTTCATACTTGTTCGGCCTCGATCGGCAGTGTCACTTCGTGGCAATGTAGGTAGCGCGAGCAGTTCGTTACCAGCCGTCTTGTGCACAAGACTTCTTGCAGTGGTGCAGTGTAATTGTAACAGATCATCATCACCTCAATTTAATCAGATTTTAAGAATGCAAAAAGAGTTCCATCATTCATATTAATTGTTTTATTATCATTTGTGATGAAAATATGAGCATTTGCCGCTACTGCCTGTTGTCATTAATATACGATAATTTATTCTCACGTACTTTGTATTTAGTTTATGAAATTCTGTGCTTTCAATAAAAGTCATATACCTAGAGTTATTAATTTCCCATTTTATCCGGCCCGTTGAAAGTGCTGAATTACCTAATGTGGCCCGCGTTTCGAAAAGTTTGGAGACCCCTGGTCTAGAGAAAATGTGGGAGCCTCAATGTCTCAAACATATGGGCCTTCATGGCCTGCTACAGGGACAGCTTTACCTTTATATAACAAGTTGAAAGAGCAGCTCTGTGTAGCTCAGAATATTTGTGTTGTTTCAGAGTTTATATTTTATAATAATTTCTTTCTTTGTAACCTCTTTGCAGGTGGAAGAAATGCAGAGGGGCATAGGACATAATTTCTTGCAGTCAGACTGCTGCTACCCAACATGGTGTGACAGGTGTGGTGATCTCCTTTGGGGCTTGTACAAAACTAGTTATTTGCGCTGCAGATGTGAGTACTCACAGATTATTTGTCACTTTGACCTTGGAAAGGCTCATGCAGACCGCAATGTGGTTCATACTTATTTAATCTCATTGTCAGTATCTGTACCCAAATGTAATTAAAATGATCTGGTCAAGGAGGATAAGATGGGCGGGACATGTAGTACTAATGGAAGAGAAGAGTAATATATGCAGGGTTTTCACAGTAAAATGAGAAGAGACCACTAGATAAGACATAGATGGGAGAGTAATATTAAGATGGCTCCTACAGAAGTAGGATAGGGTGGTATGGACTGGATTCATCTGGCTTAGGGTAGGGATCAGTGGCAGGCTTTAGAGAACATAGTACTGAACCTTTGGGTTTCAATGAAATGCTGGGAATTTTGTGAGTGGCTGAGTAAATGCTGACTTGTCAAGCAAAATTCAGCTCCATTATGTTAGTTAGTTGGTTAGTCAAACAGTCATTTGGTATCTGTGTACAGCATTGAATAACAATGTGAACTACAAATGCTGAGTTGAAAAGATCTGGAATGAAGCAGTCATGACCTAATTATAGTACAGTATGGGCCAAAATGTGTAGTACTGAAACTCGCGCATCTCGAATGCGCACATGCATTTGTTGATGGGCCATAGCTCCAGCTGCACGTGTTCCCAGTAGTGAAAAGGAAGTGATGTGCAATTGTTGGAAATGGGTTGCTCAAGAGAGGAAAAAGTATTCATAGTTGAGTATTATTTCCACTCATCTGGAAGTGGTTGCCAGACAACTCGCTTCCTTGGTTTTGAGCGGCCAGATGTTATCGTCCAGAAACCACTACATAGTACACAAGTGACAATATTGTGTACCATCTCAGCACACAGTATATTAGGCCCCTATTTCATTGAAAATGAGGAAGGCAATGCTCTTACCGTCACCCAAGAACGCTACAGGGACATGGTGATTGGACCATTTCTTCAGGATATGAGAAGGTTCTGTTGTGCAAGGGGCCTTCACATGAATAGACAGTGTTATCAACAGGACGTCTTTTCATTTCATTTGGCGCATACTGTACTTTTCCAATCTTTGGCTGGAGCGACTGAGGAAAACCACTAAAACCATAGTCAATGTAAGTGGTGTCCAAGCCAGGATTGAAACCGAATGCCTCATGAATACAAGTCTAGAGCATTGCTACAACACCGCCGGCTTCGTGACTGCTATGTGAAAATGATGATCAGATAAGGAATATTTACAATAATTAGACTAAGAAAGAAGAATGCGATAATGAGTCTTCTGGAATATGACACCATGTAGTCTGTAGGTGTGTATCAGCATTTTGGAGGTGGCCATCTACCGACGTACATGTTGCCAGTCCTAGGAGACTAATTTTTATGCCTATTGGCATGAGTACCTCATATCTCCCAGAGAGAGAACAGATTGTTCTTTGTCAGTCAGGGGAGAGTTGAGGCTGCCATTTCATGTGTACAGAGATTTCTCTAGCCAAATGCATCAGGATAAGTTACAAGCAAATCTTCCACAATTCAAGGTTTGTATTCATAGAGAATTAACAATTTTACCTCTCCCCCAGCGATAAGAGATGGTAACTGTGGTTGTTTCCGAGTGCTTCTGTCATGTGGAATATAGTGCCTTGTTTGGTGTCAGTTATGTTTTGGCTGCAGTGGGTTGTTGGATCGATACTCTGCTGTCTCTGATAGGTTTTAGTATTCTAGTGCAGATGTGACATTATAAAGCAGTACTAATACTCAGTCTGTACAACACTGCATCACAAATTTCTGTTGTTTGTCTTGATCGTTTTGGTTGTTCTCTATATTTCCCGAGAGGTAGGCATTATATGTTCTTACCAGAACCATCTCGTTTTATTAAGGTACTATATAACTGCTGGGAAGCTGCAAATATATTGAATAAGCAGTTGCGGACAGCTGACAAGAGGTGGTCCTCCAGCTTGGGAGTTGGCATGAGGCTAACAACTCCTCACTGTAAAAAATAATCTTATTACGAAAATGTACACAAAGTATCCTCTGGATAAATGACCTGGGCTAAAGAAACTGGACATGAGATTCGGAACTTGTACTCTTCTCCAAGTATAATTAGAATGATCAAGTCAAGGAGGATGAGGTGGGCAGGGGATGTATCATGAATTGGGGAGAAGAGAAATGCATATAAGATATTGGTGGGAAAGCCAGAAGGAAAGAGACTACTGGGAAGACCAAGACATAGGTGGGTAAACAATATTAAAATGGATCTTAGAGAAATAAGATGAGATGGATTGGATTGATCTGGCTCAAGATCGGTACCAGTGGAGAGCTCTTGTGAACACAGTAATGAACCTTCAGGTTCCATAAAATGCTTGGAAATTCTTGAGTAGCTGCAGAATTGGCAGCTCCTCAAGAAGAGTTCAGCTCCATAAGTAAGTAAGAAAGAAAGTACTATATCACTGCTGAAGTTATGTAGTGTAAAAGATGTGGTAAGGTTATGAATGATGACTTGGGAAGGATGTTGGAAGAAGCATTGTGTCCTTTATGTGACTATCCCAAATGAGGAAAACCACAAAAGAGATCAGTTGCTTTAGTTGGTTTCTGGCCAGGATATGAAAGTGATCCCTCTCAAACATGAGTAAGTGGCATTACTGCTCTGCTGACATGTTTGATTCATACACAAGTTACATATATCTGCTTTCTTATTTTTGCTGGCAAGTATGTATCAGTTGCACATGAATTCAGATATATATTTTTTTCCAAGACCATATAAACAAGCCATCTATCAGCCATCATAGCAAATGAGTCAGGAGTCTGCCATCTGTGAGTGAGGAGCCTTGTTTCCCTTCTTGAAGACTGCACTGTTCACAGTTGTGAATTTATAAGTGGCAATACCAAGGATTATGTTTAATTACATGTAAACACCTAACAGTTAATGAGTGTTAGGTTATTTAATGATGCTGTAGTGACTGCAGTGTAGCCTTGAATATGATGGTGTGGTGGCATACCACAGGTTCAGTAAAATATGGCAGGAAGTAGGATTTGTTATTCATACACACTCCCAGCATTTGCCTGAAAGACTGGAAAAAAGCACAGAAGAAATTAAGACTGTCTGGGTTGTGGATGGGCACTTATCCTTGTAGAGCCTTCATCTGTAATGTTAGCCAGACTAGTTATCACCAGATGGATCATTAATAGTAGAATTGCCACTGTGCCAAATCACCATCCTGCAGATGCAGGAAGCTAAATTCAAGGAATTCTTAACTTCATTCTCTACCCGCATCACCCCTGGAGAAACAGGCCCTGGTAATGATCAGATAGGTAGTTGAGAGGCCCCCAGAGTCAATCTGGATGCCGTAACAACAAGAATCTCTACCGCGTACCAGCAGTTAAAACCTCAGCATCCATGCTGTAGACAGATATTGAGAGTAGCTCTACCCAAGGGGTCCAACAGAATAGGTTTTCCTCCTGTGTTTCTGAAATGAGGAAAAAATACAATTCTGAAACATAGTGGTTTAATAACCATGTTAGGTGGATTCCTTGTCACCACGGCATGGCGCATCCTCAGGTTGCGGATGGAGGAGACGCCCTCCAGTTTTGGAGGGAAGCTGTGAATATAATGAATAAGCATCAATCCAATCAATACCATCCCATCCCATTTCTCTACTTTTCTTTAGCTTAGGTTGTTAATCCAGGGAATCTGTCCAAGTCCGAGGGTTTGTGTTCATTTTCGTAACATACTTATTTTTGAAGAAAGCAGTCTTCTGGGATTTGGCACCGTGTATAAGTGGTGTTAACCGACGTTTCGGAGGAACGTATCGCCTCCATCTTCAGGGTAGAAGAAAAATATAAGAATTCTGCAAGTGAAGAGACCGTGAGAACCGGTAAAAGCAGACTGTGTGAAAATATACACATCTATGTGAGAGCAGTANATTCAGCTTCAGAATACCTCCATCCTCACCACCAAACCCGATATAGGGATCGCATTATTAGGGAGGCAATTGAGATTGAACTGCATCCAGGAAATATGAACAGAGAGGGGGGATTTTGTCTCAGCAAGTCTTGGAAACCTCTCATCTGTTCTCTTAAAAAACCCCCACCGGGATATGACGCCAGATCCAGAAGGCCACACAGGCCATGACCAACCAACATAACAACCACCCCCACCCCCCTCAGCTTACGGATTAGTGCCCAGCCTTTAACCTTGCCTTTCTCTCCCCTACACAAAAACCAAGCTTGTCCCAGCTCCCTTTCCCCTACCCCTCCCACACTACTGCTTTCACTTGTATACTTGCCCTTCCCCCTTCACCCTCACTGCTCTCACATAGATGTGTATATTCCCACACAGTCTGCTTTTACCGGTTCTCACGGTCTCTTTGCTTGCAGAATTCATATATTTTTCTTCTACCCTGAAGATGGAGGCGATACGTTCCTCCGAAACGTCGGTTAACACCACTTATACACGGTGCCAAATCCCAGAAGACTGCTTTCTTCAAAAATAAGTATGTTACGAAAATGAACACAAAGCCTCGGACTTGGACAGATTCCCTGGATTAACAACCTAAGCTAAAGAAAAGTAGAGAAATGGGATGGGATGGTATTGATTGGATTGATCTGGCTCAGGATAGGGACCAGTGGAGGGCTCTTGTGAACATGGTAATGAACCTTCGGGTTCCATAAAATGCTGGGAAATTCTTGAGTAGCTGCTGAATTGACGGCTCCTCCAGAGGGCCGCAGCTCCATGAGTAAGTAAGTGAGTAAGTGGTTTAATAAACTCATATGAAGGATAAAGTGCAAAATAATAGTTTTAAAGAATGTATCACACGTTTCCAGAAAGTTTTAAACATAATTTAAATTCAGTCAGATATTAATTTATTAAAGTTTCTTTCACCTACAACATAAATTCTGTGATATGTGTCAAGGTATTTTCTTAAATTTGGCTCATGAATTGAGGAAACCTGTTTATGGCTGATAATCATGTAAAAGTCCTTCATGTAATTATCAGTATGGGTATAAACTTGTAGCAGAAATGAAAGGAAA